GGCTGCCCAGAGAGGTTGTGGAGTCTCCTGCCCTGGAGATACTCAAACCCCCCTTGGATGCAGTCCTGTGCAACCTGCTCTGGGTGAACCTGCTTTAGCAGGGGGTTGGACTAGATGATCTCCAGAGGTCCCTTCCAGCCCCTGCCATTCTGTGATGCTGTGAATATCTTCTACATGTAGCTCTTTAAGAGAGCAGCTGCAAGCTTTACCAAGGCAGCTATTGCTGGGACACTACTGATGCAACGACTAAGTTGGGGAGGAGTGAACTGCCAGAAGTCACGCAGAATTCTTCTCCTTAGGAAGCACCTCTCTGCCCCTTTTCTACTGTCACTTTACACCTGTGGCAAACGCAGGTAAGGTACAACACCAAAGTGTTGCTGCGGTCATGGTATCTTTCCCAGTGAAGAAAAAGGAAGTAAAAGCAGCTGCTTTTAGTTATTGCTTATTAACTACTTTTCAGGAGATTATTTACTGAACAACAACAAAAAACCTTCTTACAAAAGGACAGATGGGGAGTAGGGCAGTGTTTGAACTGATGAGGTTTTCTTAACACCAAAAAGTTATGGATTCCAGAGCAGGAAACAAAAAGCCTCTTGTTTGCCTGGAAAGCAAAAATGGATGGGAGTAGACAGAGGGAGGAAGTAAATTTTATTCTGAGATAGACACACATGCACACATAGAAACTGATCTGGGAAAACTGTAATGATTTAGGATTCTGTATTACATGCAGCATTGCTTAAGAAAAGCAGTCATCCCCCCAGACCTATCAAGGCATATGAAGATATGCCAGCAAAAATGTAATGTATAAAGCTAAAAAATAAATTCGTTGGAATTTTTTAAAGCCCTGTCAGAAGGACATTGCCATTTGAGATGTATTTCTAAACTGATAAGCTAACCAGTTCAGAACTTTAGAAATGAAACTAACACAGAAAAAAAGAGTAATAGACAAAGTCTGCATTCAAATATAACTGGTTGCGCTGATTTTGGCTAGGATAGAGTTAATTTTCTTCATAGAGCTGGTATGGTGCTACGTTTTGGATTTGTGACCAAAACAGTGTTGATAACAGAGGGATGTTTTAGTTATTGCTGAACAGTGCTTGCACAAAGTCAAGGCCTTCTCTGTTTCTTACTCTGCCCCACCAGCGAGCAGGCTGGGGGTGCAAAGAGGCTGGGAGGGGACACAGCTGGGACAGCTGACCCCAACTGACCGAAGGGATATTCCCCAACATATGACACCGTGCTCAGCAGTAAGTGCTATGGGGAAGAAGGAGGAAGGGGAAACGTTCAGTTACAGAGCTTGTCTTCCCAAGTAACTGTTACACATGACGGAGCCCCACTTTCCTGGGGATGGCTGAGCGCCTGCCTGCCAATGGGAAGTAGTGAATGAACTCCTCATTTTGCTTTGCTTGCATGCACAGTTTTACTTTACCTATTAAACTATCTTTATCCTGACCCACGAGTTCCCACACTCTCACCCTTCTGATTCTCTCCCCCATCCCACAGGAGGAGTGTGAGAGGCTGGGTGGGGCTGAGCTGCCCACAGGAGTTAAACCACAACCCTGTGGTTTAACTGGTCTCTTAAAGAAGAAAGCCAACAGAACCCCACACTCACACATTTCAACTCAGCCAGATCTATTATTTTTAATAAGGCTTGGTTCTGAAAGACTACGCAACTACCTGGGTTTTGGTTGACGTTTTTTTTTGCTGGGTTTTTTGTTTGTTTTTTCTTACCGTTAAAAGAATGGAAGGAATTCTAAGAACTAAAACATATTTGGACTTAGTGAAATTGGGGAGCAGGGGTGTCATGTACTTATGTGTATGTTGAAGTGACAATGTTTACAGAAAGTAATTTCTTCAATACAGTAGTAATAAGAAAAATCCCAAAACACCCTATTTAGATAAAAGTGCTTTTATAAAGTGTTCTTGTAATAAGCTTGTACTCATGTTACTATAAAATATATACAACAGATAGCATAAAATGTCAGCATTTAGGAACACAGCTATTTCTTATTCAGTCCACTACAGACTACCTCCACAAACATTTTGGTTCCTACTACTGTGTCACCTCCAGCATCGACTCTCTTTACATTGACATCCAGTTAGTCATTTTTCTTTGCTCTCCATACCTAAACACACAAGTTTCATTTAAGATGAAGTGCTCTGTACATTCACTTAGTCACTCATTAAGGCACTTAAAAAGAGTAAGTCAATTGCTTGCAACTGTGCATCTGAACACAGATCAATCCAAAGTGCTTAGCAAACTCAAGTTAAACAATGCATTTGGTTAGGACAACAATTACAGAGTAATACACCTAGGAAGAAGGGTCATACCCACAAAGCAGAAGATCATATTCTTACAAGCAGTGACTATAAAAGAGAAGCCTGTATGCAGGGGATGAGCAACTCAGTATAACCTCCTGATACAATATTACAGGAGTCAATGCAGTCTTTCACTGTATCAGGCTTTTCTACACCAGAACAGCAACATCAAACCTGTCTGACATCACGCGATGTACACAGGAGCAATGCACACATTTAACAAGTCACAAGATCAAAAGAGACTGCAAAAGAAAGCTTTTTCTTTTTTTTGAGGGCAGTAAAAGTGTCTTACACCAGACCAACAGAACAAACAGGTAGAATTTATTAATCAAGAGGACAATTAGCCATAGAATTTTTGCAAGAAGAAAATACCATGCACTAGAGACTCTGATCTGGGAGAAAGGACTAACAGCTGAAAGCAGAAGCCAGACTGATTAGTATACAAATTAAATTCCTATTAGCAATAAGCTACTGGAAAAAACTATCATATATATATAGGTCAGAAACTGAAGAAATCAGTCTTCAGATCAAGATCTGCTCTTTTTCTAGAAAATATATAACCAAACAGCAGTTACTGAACTCAGTTTAAGAAAAAAACCAAAACCCTAAGAAAATGGAAAAAACTTATGACAAAATCTTGACCATGCAACATGATGGTCCTGCTGTGAAAAACAGGAAAACAAAAGACTCAAACACACTAGCTTGAGGAAATTTGTTTCCCTTGCATCTTATGTGGCCTTGGCTGCATCCAGGTGCACACTCTCCTCCTCTCTTTCCTATTAACAAGCAGTATAGTTTACCTATAATACACTATGGTACACTGGTTCTCCCAATTGTCTCACACAGCATTTGAAGGATAATGGAGACGAATAGGACGTTTATAAGAGTATGGCACTGACACAGGTGAGACAAGCTGTTCGCCTGAAGTTACTCCTTTCCAAAACTTGTTATGAAGAAACTGCAATTTTTATGTATTACAGGGCCAGTATACTGCTGATCCTGTGTAAACTGTACTGAAGTGACTATATTTTCAAGCTTTTCCCTCCTCTAGAAATGCAACTTGCAAAACTAGATTGCCATATTCTAAGTAATGGAGAATTACTATAACAGATACCTTTATTTTAACCCCTATACAGGCAAGGGCTTTCTCCATCCCTTTTCCAGGTACAGGGTACCTTGTGTTAAGCACAGATCAAGCTCTGACTGATACCTCTGCCACCATTCAAAATATTGCGTTTATTATCTTAATTTGATCTAGGAAGAATTACATACTAAGTTATATGTTTCTCTTCCTTCAGAAGAGAAACAGTATTCAGATTTGACAGAAGTAGCTGCTGCAAATATTTTAAGCTTCCCCCGAAGTGAAGTATGGCTAGAAACTCTATAGGAGGAAAAATTAGGGCAAAGGTAACAGACAGAGCAGAAGAAATGAGGTTCCCACGCACCGTCAAACTACTGTAAGTTTTACTGAGGGAAAACAAACCTAGAATCAAACAATTTTGGCTCAGTCTGACATTAGAAATTCATAAGGCATTTCAAGAGTTCTGTGTTTATCCTAAACATTACCTGGGCATCAATTAAAAAAAAACCCTCCAGTTATCAAGCATTGAGACAGTCACAGTGAGGACTGGAGTTCTCACTGTATGTGTGATCACAGAGTTACAATCTTGGCATTGTCTGGCTGAACACAAGGAAGCACAAATCAAACACTATACAGTCAATGAATTGTTACATTCACTGTCATACAAAAATGCCCCAGGTGTAGTTTTCAAGAGATCTCACTTCATGTCAAAGTCTGTGGTGCAAGTTACAATTAAGAAATCTAATAACTGGTATTTAACGGACTCACAAACCAGGTGTTTGTCCCCAGCTGCTACAATAAGTAAAGCATTTACTTTCCAACACAAAAGACCTTTGCCTGCTGCCACTGGAAAAAAGCGGATTTTGTACTTCTGTTGACCTATGGACTTCAAAATGTTTAACTGTTCCTACATGTGGGACACGCAGAAGTCTGTAGACCATAATAAATAGTTGGTGTTTAAGATAATGTATGTCCTCAGATATCTAACCTGACACTAAATACTTGCTGCTTAATGAACAGACAAACCAGAAAAAGAAAAAATATTCTTCCAGCAAAACTGAAGTCAGCCTCTTTTCCAACTGACTGGGGACAATGCACGAACTTTCTTCACTCTTTTTAACCAAAGAAACAACTCTTACTCGAATTCTGAAAAAGATATATATCCTTTCACTCTGGCTGATGATGCCTAGACCACCCAATTGTAGATTTCAAAAAAGCTTTGGTTCCTTAAAAAAGGTTAGTGTACTAATACAAGTAACTTGAAAATAAAGTAAATTTGCTAGGATTGCATGTACACAGAACTGAGGTACAGAGACTGAGGTAGTCACAGATTTATAGGATTGTAGACTGGAAAGAATAAAATAAAATGTTCTGTTTCTGCAAGTGTTGGAATACTAAGTTTTCCAGCAGTGACAGTACCTGAACATTGTTTATCACACACACATCTCATTAATATTTGACAAAAGCCTTCCCTAATGAAAACATAATTACTTTAATTAATACTTTTACGAGCGTTCACAAATACACTACAGCACAACGAAAGAGCGCAAGTCAACAAAACTTGCCATGCCCTCTGTGCCTGAAAAACTGTAAGACATACCTGATTACTGCTTTTTGCAGCAGAGTTGGTCTGAGCTGTATTTGAAGAAAGGGAATCAAAAAAGGCTTGGTCGGCTAACGAGTTACCGCAGCTAATTCCATCTTTTGCACCTTCGGTTATAATCTGAAATGGAAAAAATTGCAAAAGATTTTTCATGCTTCCATTAATCACATTATGCTGTTTATCATATATAATCATCCTAATAGTCATGTCACTAGACTTTAAGATGGTTGCACATACCCTTTTTGAATTCAAATTCAACAGAACCTTTTACAAGAAACTGATGTGATAATCTGGACAATTTACTCCCACAAAGATGGAATTGGTTTGCATTGTAACAGTGTAACAAGGAAGACTGTTGTAGCAGGGGACACCTGTCTATAAATTCATCAGGGATTAACAAGGTTGTTATTGTTACTGCTTGGAGACTGCATACTCAATACTCAGAGGACCAGTTTGGGACAGCAAGTCAGGAGAGCTAAAAGCTACTAGACCATGAGCTAGCCAACTGAAGGCAAAACATAAGGTCATGTGAGCCAGCATTGTCCTCCACTCCACACATTCCCCCTTTTTTTTTTTTTAAAAACAAACACAGCACTGGTGAAGGAAGGGAGGCACATTCCTTAAGAATAGGCTGCAGGAATTACAGTCAGAATCTTCACCTAACTCGCAACCTGCAGACATACAGACACTGGGCGCTCCAAGAGGGAACTGGATTCCAGTCTATGCATTGAGACCCCCATTCCATTCCCACCCCCATACCACCAGTCTTTAAACAAAGAGCAGATCAACACACACTGAAGAGACAGCAAAGGCAAAGACTCTCAGGAAGAACACAAGCTGAGTAGTCCCTGGATTTGGGATCCCATATCCTGAGCCCCAGAAATTAGGTTCCATTCCAAGATTTATGAGCATGTGGCAAATCAGCGACAGCAACACCACTGTAAACTTGTATTACTCATTTCACTTCCATATCTGTATCTTCGGGCAGGAAAACAAAACAATTATTGGATCACGCAACCCCCAAAGCCAAAAGCAGACTCAAAATAGCTCATGTTCTGCAGATCACCAGTATTTACCGTAGATGACCTGCTGTTGTATTTCTTGGGAAACCACCAAGAAGCTCAGTAGCTTTGGATGGCATGTTTGCACAGGTCCCCAAAGCCAGCTACACTTGCTACAGTAAGATTATCTACTCCAAGCTTTAACATTTATGTTCGAGCACTACAGTCTGACCAGTGACCCAGAGGATCACCTCCCCAGTAGCTCTACTTTCTTAGTGCAGACCAGTGTAGTCACTCACCTCAACGTAATCTGTTGGAACAAGTCCTCTCTCGCCTTGGCTGTTTTTTCCTTCTAACCAGCCTCCACCAACATTCTGAAAGAAGTAGTAACATAGAAACAGTTTTGCTAGATGGATTCCACAGCATGCTTTAAACAGCTCAGGAGGAAGCACTGTTTTGCTGTCAAATGCAATGTTTGAAATACAGTCATGACTGTATGACCGTGAACAAACTCGCCTAAACCTGCTGAAGCAGCAGATACTTTTTTAAATGGAACACAGACCCTACTTGTTTCACACAGATATTGTGAACTTCAGATTTAACGAGTACAAGGGGTAAAAAAGGTTGATTTCCAACACCTTTGATCATTTATGAAACCAGTCAATTGTCTGGACATAGACTACATCAAAACACAGCTACTAGCATGCCAACTCCAAAGCATTAATTTCAATCAACAGATTATAAAAAAAAACCCAACCAACCAAGACTCAAGGAATTAAGCTATTGGTAATACAAGTAAAATCTCTATTTCACTTAGTGAAGGTGCAGAGGTGTGTGATGAGTGGGAGCTGTAACCCACAAAAATATTAAGGATAATCTCAAGATTGAGAGGCACACACCATGCAAAATCTGGAGATACCCTTTCTAGATTACATTTGATTTCAGAGGCAAGTCTCACATTATCCGTTTGGACAGAACTAATACCGTTCAGCTCTGATCTCAGTGGGGCATCCTGTTATTATTTGGGTTTTTTAAAAACACACATTCTACATACACTAAGAAACCTTTGCAGATCAGCAAAGCCAATTCCAGCACAGCATTATCTGGAATAAGCCAGTTCTGTTTTAAATCAAGCTGTTCCTTGAACACAGTTACACCTCAAGCTAACTCACACCTGAAAACTGGAACCACATATGCTAGACAGCAATTATTGCATTTCAGGTTTTCTTAATTTGTTTTTCAATTGATATATTTTTTTTTAATTCACAATTTTGTTCTTTCACTTGGAAACTTTATGTAATCCTGCACATAGTAAGGAGAAATCTCCTTAAAAACTTGGAATACATAAGCAGACTTCTCCTTACTATGTGCAGGATTACATCAATCAGTTACTGAAATAAACTTTCATTTGCTTTTCCTTATGCACCTAAAAGTTTTCTCAAAAAACACAGAAACAACTAGACATCTTGGATTATAAATTCAACTAGCTTGGTTAAACTGCAAGAGCAATGACATCTTGAGCCAGAAGTCACGTTTGTACCGCTGCACTTAAGAGCCATCATCAATGGACTCTCATGACTTACGCCATTGCTGTCTAAACTTATCATATCAAAAAAGATCAAGAGCCTTTGTGGCAATCTATTTCACAGTTTAATCATGGACAGCATAAAATAAAGTTTTATGTGGTTTTAAGTATATTGCCTTAACACACAAACGTCTTGTTTGGCAAGAACTAGCTTGAAAGTGGTAAACTATTTATTTAGTCCTACTTCTGTGAATGGTATTAAACTCCCGAACTCATTTAAAATGTTACCTCTGCCACAGCATACCGTACTATCCAAGGGGGTGCTGGTTCTTTTAAATATCTGCTTCAAATATTTAAGGTCAGTGGAACTAAAAATTACCAGGATTACATGTGACTAGGCTCTTCAAAGAATTAGTTCATTCTGCAGAACCCATGTTTCCCATACAACCAGATAAATAAAACCTGCCATCAAGATCGGGCATTTTGTGTTTGTATATATTTAAAAGGGAAGTCTATTCACTGAGCCATATCACTACACGAAAATCAAAAGCAGAATCTACTAACACCTTGTTACCAAGGGTAAGAATTATACAGCACATTAAAAGCGCACTCGAATTCAAATTGTACACACAAATCGAATGTCAGGGCTCAAAAGTACTACCAATTTAAGAACTTGATAGTATTACCCTAATACTTTCACCACTCCTTCCCTGTACCTCGTCCATATTGCTTTAATTATGAAAGGACATACAAATTTAGTAAAAAAATTTGTCACAAGTTCTTTGAACAAACTTGGAATGCTGAAGTTACGGATGTCCTCTATCTGGACTTATGGAAGGCCTTTGACATGGTCCCACACAACATCCTTCTCTCTAAACTGGATTTGATTGGTGAACTGTTCGGGTGGACTGATGGATGGATGAGGAATCCGTTGGATGGTCACATCCAGAGGACAGTGATCAATGGCTCAATGTCCAGATAGAGACCAGTGACAAGTGGCATCCCTCAGGGGTCCATGCTGGGATCAGTGCTGTTTAATATCTTCTTCAATGACGTAGACAGTGGGATTGAGTGCACCCTCAGCAAGTTTGCAGATGCCACCAAGCTGAGTGGTGCTGTTGACACGTCTGAGGGATGGGATGCCATCCAGAGGGACTTTGACAGGGTTGAGAAGTGGGCCTGTGTGACCCTCATGAGGTTCAATAAGGCCAAGTGCAAGGTACTGCACGTGGGTTGGAGCAACTCCCACTATCAATATGGGCTAGGGGATGAAGGGATTGAGAGCAGCCCTGCAGAAAAGGACTTGGGGGTGTGGGTGGATGAAAAGCTGGACATGAGCTGGCAATGTGCACTTGCAGCACAGGCTGCAAATCATATCCTGGGCTGCATCAAGAGAAGTGTGGCCAGCAGGTTGAGGGAGGTGATTCTCCCCCTCTACTCCGCTCTGGTAAGGCACCATCTGGAGTACTGCCTTCACCTCCAGAGTCCTCAGCACAAAGACATGGACCTGTTGTGTTGGAGTGAGTCCAGAGGAGGGCCACAAAAATGATCAGGGGGCCAGAGCACCTTTCCTACAAGGACAGGCTGAGAGAGTTGGGGTTGTTCAGTCTGGAGAAGAGAAGGCTCCAGGGAGACCTTACTGTGGCCTTTCAGTACTCAAAGAGGGTCTGTAAGAAAGATGGGGGCAATCTTTTTAGCAGGGCCTGTTGCAATAGGACAAGGAGTAACGGTTTTAAACTAAAAGAGCATAGATTTAGTCTAGATACAAGGAAGAAATTTTTTTTTTTTTTACAATGATGGTGGTGAAACACTGGAACAAGCTGCGCAGAGAGGTGGTAGATGTCCCATCCCTGGAAACATTCTAGGTCAGGTTGGACAGGGCTCTGAGCAGCCTGATCCAGCTAAAGATGTTCCTGTTCGCTGCAGGGAGGTTGGACTCAATGACCTTTAAAGGCCCCTTCCAACCCAAACTATTCTATGATAAGTCATTGATTAAGAAACTCAAAACCAGTAAGGGAGCTGGCATGTCGGATTTAAATGCAATTGCCAAGCACCTGAAAGATTACATGCGCACAAAATGTGGAACATTAGGCACAAAACAGACAACACATTCAGATGTAAAGGGTATCGCCATCGTTAGCTCCTTCGTCTGCCTTGGCACTCAGCTCTGTTTAGAGGAGAACAAAGCTGATCTAATTCCTAAGTGCGTAGGCACAACCTGAGAGGGCCCCTGTCCTCCAAAACTGCTCATTGCATTTGTTTCCACAAAGCTATTAGAAAATTCTTCGTATTTAGTTTATTCACCAATTTTTCAAGAGATGGTAGCTAGGGCTTTCAGATGTCACCTAGCACCTTTTTTCTTCCATCTGCTAGAATTAGGTCAGGAAAGTGCACTGAAGCCTTGATTCCATCTCCGTTTTCTTACCAGGTTGGTAATTACGATAATCTCCCCTTCACTGACGGTCAGCTCGTTGTTTCCAGGCTCCGCAGCAAAATCATACATAACACGAGCCTGTATGTGAAAAAGAAAATAGCAGTGAGCCTTCCAGATTATTAGAAGATTTCATGAAGGCAGTATCAGCACAACTTATTCTTAAGTAGAAGAAATAGTAAGTGGGGAAAGGCTGGATGTACAAAGAGCAACTCAGCATGTAGGAAGCTAACATTTCCTAAATTTGAACTCCAAACTGAACACTAATGCAAACTTTACAAGATTAAAGTCTCCTGTGGACCTTGTTAGAGATGATCATTATTTTCCAGGAGGATTCACAGTTTAGACTGTCTGTTCTCTGCTGTGTCCAGAACTATCTGTACAACTTCTTCCAGGAGAAGGAAAGGCTTCTAACTTTGGCAAACAATCCTTTTTTTTTTTCCCCTACAAGATATATTCTAGCTCCAATTTGGGTAAAGGGAACTGTTTCATAGAACAAGCAATTCAGAAAGAGAAAAACAAGTAATTGTAGATGTAAGTAACCACTGCTGTACATGAAAAGTAACATATAAAATTATGTTTTGAGACTCTTTGTATACAGGAGGAACTACACAAATGCACAAACAAACAGTGAGAGCAAGCCTGTTGTGTATTGGCACAAGGCAGGGGGGGAAGGAAAAACAAAACCAACCTAATTTTCAAGTGTTCAGACACACAAAAGCTTTGCTGTGTATTGACTCTGCTACTACACTACATAAAGAAATGTTATGTTTGAAACACTGACAAAGTTGTCTAACATTTAAAGAACAGTTCTGCTTCTTTATACAAAGAATTGTGATGTGGCCTAAGATCATGTTCCCAAACATTTTTTCATTGTCTTCTATTAAATTCCTTCCTGATCTAGAAGTAGAGAAAGCTCTCGGGAATTACAAAGGGACTATATTTCTTCTCTCACAAACTGTTGATATGGATGCAGAGAGAAACCACATATATTTTCCCCTTGCCTCTTAACAGAGGAACTAGAATCAAAGTTCTAGCTTTCCATTTAAAGTGGTGTATTAGATAAACTTTAAACCGGACCGCAACAAACCCTTTATCTAAGCTTCTCTTCCCTTGAAAGAAAACTCATCACACTGGTAGAATAGATAAAAGCCTTATTATTTACACCTCAAGTTTTTATGTTAGCCAGGTGCCCCAGAAGGAATTAATACATTATTTTATCTCATTGATGCCAATGCTGAAGTATCAAAGAGCCACAAAAGGGAAAGCTAGACTATAGGTCAGGAAATGCAAACACAAAGTTCAAATTTTAACAGACAGTTAAAACAGTACTGACACTTATAACAAAAATACCAATACTCAATATAGATTACATCATAGCCCTTATTTCTCCAGCTCATACAGAATTAAGAGCAGCAGAAAGTTTACTTCAGGAAACACACCAATTTCCCTAGCACATCTTGAAAGAGGCAAGGCTATGGTCTCATCTTTACGAGTAAGACATATGCTTGAGTTACCTCAGCTCATACAGAAGTGGGCTTTGTTCCTGCATATTAAAAAACTAAATCCAAGAGAAACAATTTTACAGCGGTGTTACTAATAACATCAGACACTGTGTACAGCAATGAGGTCCTTCTTATACCCAGAGGTCAGAAGGAAGCAAAAAAAAACCACACACCAACCCAAGCCTAATTTTTTTTGCCACAAAGATGACAGAAAAATCATGAAAGCAAGTTAAGTGACAAGAGAAAAAAATACCAGAAGACAGACATTTATCATAAAGCCTTGCCTGTCTCAAAATTGCAGGTTATGACCCCCACCTAGACACCCCTTCTCCTGTCATAAAAAAACAGAAAAAACACAACTTCCCTCCCCCACAATTTCATGAGTATCATGTGGAAATAATTCCAGCTGGTCAAGAGACCTCACTTCAGTGTAAACAAAAACAGAGCCTAGAAAAAGCACATATGTTGTAGTTCAGCTGACAAAGCTAACCCTGAACCACGTGCACAAAGAATGAAACAGCTGGTCTTTGCCACTAGAGAAGCACAACATTGCAGAAAACCATGTGTCCCAAGCACTCTGAATGCATCCTTACATGACAGTTTTTCCCTTAGAATTGAGGCTTTTGGCACTTTCAGGTTATGCCATGCAAAACCAAGATGAAGAAGAGAAAACTGTTTTCAATAATAACACTGACTACTTTTCTTCCAGTAGAAAATCAGGCCTCCAGGCAAATATAAGAATAAACTGCCTTACTTTCCTTAGAAAGTAAACTGAAGAGAAGCAGCACACCTTTTGAAATACAAGAACATTTTAAGCAGGGGTGTAAAGAGCACCATCCTCCAGGCCTCTCCCCTCAACAGTAGTAGATGAAGGCGTTGAACATGTACTTTTTCCAGCAGGTTACAAATACTTTCCCAGCTCCTGCAAGTTGATTTAACAACACTTAGATGCTAAGCATCTGAACCGTGGGGAAAGCAGCTTTCTTAACCAGGGAGCCTTCTTACCCTTCTTCAAGCAGTACACCATAGTATTATGTTCTTGCTTTTACTCACAGGAATGATGAGAGTTCACCAGGACAAGGACAGATTTTACCAGCCTTCAAGAAAACTAGCAAAACGCCCCACAGTAATGATAAGACTGGGCAGGTAAGATACACTTGTGTCTAATAAGGTAACAGATGAAAATATTAGGTTCTCCAGATGTAGCTTAGAAAAACTAGTTTATTTAGAAAAATTTGGAAGTATTCAGCTTGTAGGGAAGGAAAGACCAAGAGAGATACATAGAACTTAATGAAGTCATTGTGCCAAAGTCTATTCACCTGCCCCAGATTCCTGTTTCAAACGTTGCTAAAAGTATGGGGGGGGTGCAGGGGGAGAAATCACAAACCAACCCAATAATTTTTGCCCTTACTGCAGAGTAAGAAATTGAAAAGTAAAGAGATTTGCAATACTACAGAAATGGATTATTACAGACCATAAAGCATTTGAGGTACAGCTGTAACCTGATCCATATATTAATGTTTCAGATACATTCCCTAGATTTTTTTGCTGGTACTCTGTTTCACTTGTATCTCTGAGCTTATTTGCCTAGTTTGGGAATTAAGTCCCCAAGAACTCCAGGCAAGTAAGCTTTAATGCTACTCTCCTACTGTTGAGATTTAATGGGAAAAATAGCATAAACTCAACCAATTCCAAAATAAGTGAAACTAAATTACTAAATATTTTCTCTCAATTTACTAAGTGTATTGTTAACAATTGAAAGCCCTCCCTCCAACTTTTCCTTGGGCAGTGGCACCAGCCCCAACCCTATTTAATTTTATGACAATCAGTTCCAAAATACTATAAAAAGGAAAATGGTTTGGTTTTGCAAGAAACTTTTTCTTACTTACACAAATATTACACCCAAGTAGCAGTTATGGCTTAGAGTTAGTTCTTTGCCACGTATTCAAAAATAGCACATGGGCATGGACAGAAGAAAGCATTTAACCAGAAAAGGATTTTAGCTCCTGGGCAATGCAATACATGCATTGAATATAAGCTCATGGACATTCTGAATAGTTATAAAATTAGAATCTCTGGCAAATTCCAAAGATCAGAGAATGAACACCACAAAGGCAACTTCTTCAAAACACAGGTATAAAAACCCAAGACTTGTTACAATAACTGTTGTGCTTCATATTTACTTCTGATCATATGTAAAAGGATCAAATGATCCATGAACTACAGGAACTTCAAAGATTCAAATATTTTGTTGGTGGAATAAAGGCCATTGCTTCATTTACAGAATACTGCAAGTCTACAAAACAAGTAAGAAATGATAATTGATCTATTAGCTGAAAGAAAACTAGTTTCTTTTACCGGCTGCACTTATCCCCCCTGTCTCTCATGCCCAATCCCCCCTACGATACAACTGGCTCCAGATTCTGAAGTTGTTTTGTCAGATCCTTTGAGAAAACGTTTAAACAGAGTTCATTGACCAGAAAGCAGAACTGGTAATTGTACTGTACACCTGCTGCCTCCCTTTGCTCGGGTGGCAGTGGAGCTTCCCGCACCTCCACTGAGAGCTTGTAACATAACCTGATGTTCACCTTGTGCTCCCTCACGTGAGAAAAGGCCAGCACAGACTAAGCAGAACCCCACAACACATGCCAAGGAGGAAAGGGCACTCTGATCCCCAGCATCTCTGCAGCTCTGGCATATACTGCAGTTTCTCTAGAATGAGACAGAGCTGGCAGTTTTCTCTACAAGCTGAGGACAGAGGGAAACCAGTAAGAATCCCTCCTCATTAAAGGAAAATACACTTTTCAGCAGTATGGGTACAGACATTTAGATTGTAATAAGGAGAAGAGAAAGGAAAGAGATAATTCTCAGTGTTACATCAGCATTCTTTGGAGCTGGTTCTACCTGCTGTAGTTACACACCTGGACTGCAGCTTCCCAATTTACAGATTTACTGACTTATTACAGCATGAAACCTCTAAACTTCTAGAAATTCTAAGCGTTGCAATCAATCACTATTACTACCTTTTTAGAATAATAGTAATCGTTTCTAAGCACATCAAAACACAAAAGATTCTTCACATTGAAAAGCAGTACCTAGATTAGCGAAAGTACCATCCCTCTGCAGACCTAAAGCAGACTTGGCTTTTCTCCATTACTTCTGTTTGAGTTCAGTACCTCTTCCCTTTTCCCAAAATATTAAAAAACAAGAGGAAAAAACCCCAAACAAACAAACAAGAGCATTTGCCAACTTATTTCTGCAAGCAGACATAAGACTACGCAACTATAACTGTCAATGTGTCAAGACTCAGCATAAATTAGATGGGAAGGAAGTTGGCTAGCAAGTCATTAAAATAAAATTCCAATGAAGAATTACATTACCACTACATTAGCTTACTAGAAGATCCAAGATCTATGCAGACATCCTGATGGACTAGCTCCTTTTTATGTCCCCCGGAATCTTGAAATAGCTGATAAAGCAACAGAAGCACGTATTTCTCATTAAGAAGAATCTGCCTTTTCCAAGATGTTTCACTCAAGAGATGCTAGGCGCAGATCGATGAGCAAC